CTTAAGACCTTTAAAGACTTCCTTGGGATTGAAGTTACATGGTCTAAGGACAAAATTCAAATATGTCAACAAAAGTATGTTTTAGGCTTGTTGAATAAGATATGGATTACACATGCTAGAGCTTTAAAATTGTTATTGCATCTGAGCCTCAAATTGTTAAAGGAAGATGGTGAGCTCATTTTCGACCCAACCATGTAAAGAAGGCTCATTGATAAATTGATGTTTTTGAAATGTCGTAAAAATATTAATATTAATGTTAATAAATAACTAATGGATATAATATTTGTTATAATGTATTTTTAAAATTTTAAATTGATATTCCACTAAACCCTTTTATTATCACCATATTGCATGAGAAATTTAGGTATTTTTAATATAAATTAATAATTTTTTTAATTAGAGATATCATTTACACATTAATAATATATAATATATAATATAACCAATTATAACATATATTTTTAAGACTGACAGATAAAAAATCATAACCCAATTCTAATTCATATCTTCATAGAAAAAAATAAAAATATCAATTAGATTGATAGATTGACGACTAATTTTAATAAAAAAATATAACTATTTAAAAGATTTGAATATGACAATAATTGTAACGCCCCGTTTTTTTTTTCTTCTTTTTTTCACGTTGGGCGTAATTAACAAAGCAACCAATTCTATAGTCAATCGGTCAAGCACAAGGAAACACTATCACAATCCCTTATTCAATGATCAAGGTAAATCTACAATCATGCACAAGACATCGCACATAATATAACCGTATACAATGTCTATGCTACCATCAATTTACACATTCTATTCAGTCAAAAAAACGAAAATCTTTATCCTGTTACTCTACACACTAGGTTCGAACGCCAACAACTTCCATCCAGACTTCGTCCTACACCATCTGTAAAGAGGAAAGAGTGAGTCCATTTAACTAAGTACGGTACAAATCAAAATACAGGTGTGAGATGCAACAATATAAACCCCAAGTTCCTACCAACAGTTCACTACCGAACCCCAGTCCCCCCCTGTATCCCACAATCCCACCTACCCAGGGTTTCCGTCCCCCGACGGCACCCCAGGCGTGCTAGTGATACCACCCACCACCAAGATCGGCGATCATTAACCACCTATCGATCCCTACTGGGCCACGCACGGACACTATTTTCCTTCATTTTTGTCACCAACATCGGCGACCATCATCCACCTACCGACCCTTATCGGGCCACACACACACACTCTAATCATTCTCTCCCGTCACCAACATCGGCGACCATTCGCCACTCTCGACCTGTACCAGACCACACACACACACACCCTGATCATTCTCTCCCGTCA